CTGCTGTAAAAAGTAAACTTCCCTGGTGTAGGATAAAAAAAGATAAGGTTTATCTGATGTTATCTAATGTATTAAAATGTAAATCTCTGTTTTTTAATTGACTTAAATTAGCTGAATATAATTTACATATTAATTGATTTACATGCTTGTTGCAATTAAGATAAAGGGCATGTATGAAGCTGGAAAGGAGCAGTGCATAAATGAACTGGAGAAAAAAAAGAGTCAGCGAATTCCCCTCAAATCAGATCTGTAGTGAAAATTAGAGCATCCACCCTCAGCTCGCTGTGGATAAAGCCCCCCGCCCTTCCTGCACAACGAGCAGAGTAAAACCCAGTGCCAGCGAGGAGATGTGCGACAGACCCAAGAGCAGGAGCACGGAGCTGGAGGAAACGTTCACTGGAGCCCGCAGACTAATCCACATTAATGAACTGTATCACTGTTAGGTCACACGTGTAGAGTATTTTACATGCTGTCCGTATGGAAAAGGAATATTTGGCTCCAGACACAAGGAGAGGCTGACCTGAACAAAGCACTGGGCACAGATTGAGCGTCTCAAGTTTGATCTGCGGGGAGTGGAGTCGCTCTCCTGTCACTGTGGACTAATGATGGCTCTAATGGTTCACCTGAGGACGGTCGCTCACCTGCGGGGAAAAGGTGACCGGATCGCCAAAGTTACATTCAGAGGTAGGACATCAGACCGAAGCCCTGATTTGAGTCATGTGACGGCAGGTTGACGGGAGATAATGAGGGGACCAGGCTGCGTAAAAAGTTTGGTGAACACCCTCCTCCATCACCGGAGACGCGGTGCATACTGCGCTTTTTTAAATCCAAGGAGGCAAATATTCTTTAGTATAGAAATCTATGATCAATTGAGAAACATATTCATAATAAAAAAAAACAAAATGCAAAGACTACAAGTCCTTAAAATGACAACGATATACAAAAATAACCAAATCCCTATTTTTATTAACAATAACTCATTCAGATTATTTGACTTAGTATCTAACACAAGTAACTTCTTGCAATATAGTGATGTTACAGTGACTTTGTACAGATTCCACTTGACGTCTTTATAAGATCTTGATTTGAGGAGGATACTCTTTTAGCACCTGAGCCTTTATAGGACTTAGTATTATATTATATATTAGTTGCTATTTATAGTAAAAGTGTAACTGTCTTTGTGTACCTGGGAATATCATGACATTAAAGTGACTTATTGTTTTTAAGTGACATTTCCAGTCAGCGTTTAATCGTGTTTACTTTTTACTCATAAAGCATTAAGGCCAAGAGGTAGATTACTATTGACTATAAGCATTGATTACTGAAGAGCATGTTGGAGGTTGGGGGGTGTCTTCTTTATTACACCTTCAGGGTAACTGCCCCGTCCACTAGTTGTTTCAGCTCCTATAGGATCATTATCAGAGCTCCTGTCCTGCTGCTCAGAGGAAAAGGGAATCGCTGTGAGACTCCAGGGACCGTTAGGAACGAGTGCAGCGCATTCATTCATTGACAGCCTATATTTCATTGTGTGTGTGTGTGTGAGAGAGAGACAGAGAGAGAGAGAGAGACAGAGAGAGAGAGAGAGAGAGAGATAAAAGAAGAGAGGTGTGTGTTTCAGCACCTTGGACAGCGATGACAGGTGCTTCAGTCCCGACTGATCTCTGATCAGATTCCTGTTCTCAGACATCAGTGTTGTGTCGGATGTTAAAAGACCACTATCCCCTTCCCCCCATCTTCCTCTGCTCTGTGGGTGTGAGTGTCTAACAGCGCTCTGGGTAAAGGATGGCTTTCAGTGGTGTGATCTGTGCTGCAGTGAACTCACCAGGGTCTTGATCTTACACGAACCATGTCAAGGATTTGAACGTCTCCCCACGGTCCAACTGTCAGGACACTCAGTTCAGCTGCTTATAAATTCAAATAGCCTCTGTAAAGATGTGTGTCCATGTGCTCCCTTTCTTTTTTACCCCAATTTCTGCCCTGGTGAAGGAATTAAGTTTCTTCTGGAGATTGACAATGTCTTATGCATAAGTACTTATTTTCATTACTGGATGCATCATTGAGACCAGGCTGGTGAGCCGTAGAGAAAGTTAACAGTTGTATTGCCATCACCAAATCTGAGCTTTTATAATCTCCCCACATCGCAGTGGTCACATACCATTAGTCTTCATGTGGCTCTTTTGCAGAGAGATTCTGCAACTTCCTCCTGTTGTTACCTATTTAGCTTCCTAACTCATCCTTGGATCCCATGCACTGCAACAGAGGAAATGACTCTCAGTATTATAACACAAACTGTGACTTTAATCAAGGTGCTGCCATCCTGAGCTAGAGGGGCCTAAAAATAACACAGTGCATACTTTGGGGAAAAAACTACTTCCCACATTAAAAATAAAAATCCATAGTTACCATAAAATATTTGTAAATACATTTAAAAGCAGTTTAAAAACCTAACATAGACGTATTGTCACAGAAAAGGTTTGTAAACTAGGATTCATATTTCTATGAATTGACCATTCTGAACCAACACACTGCCTTCAGACAGGGTCACACATTTAGACAGAAGACAAACATTGTGTGTTTATTCAGTCTTCAGCTGCAGAGACACAAACCTCAGTGTTTAATTATTAATGTGGGGAAGTTGTTAGCGAGCAACTGCTAATTGCTGCTAGTTTACACATCCAGCAGTGATGGAGGAACATTAACATTCACGTGGAGTCAGTAAGTACAGTATTTACTCGGTGTGTTTGGTCCTGGGTGGAGTTTTAATCTGCTGTTCACCCTGTTAGCTTGCTAGGCTAGTAGCAGGTGGAGCTAATCATCTACATTCTCATATAGCTCAACAATTAATTTACAATATAAGCAAAAAAAAAAACGTACCCGTGTTCAGATGTTAGGTCCAATATGTGATAAAAAAAAGATTTTTACCTGTTTCCCAAATTACCTGTTATTTCCAGGTAGCAGCTGGTGTTGCACTGTTTTCTGTTACCTTTCATAGTCTAGTCCCTGAAAAGGAATCACAGCAAAGTTTTCATTGTTAACTTATTTGTTTGTTTAGTTTTTCTTATTTTTCCAAATATGCCTTATCACATGTTTGATTTTAAAAAGCAAAGCATTGACACAAAATGTTTTAGTAACACCGCTGAACTGCTGCCATCTTTAAAAAGGGTTCAAATCATTTAGCAGACAAATTACTGTCTCATCCAGGTGTTTAAAAGAGTCTTTGGGGATTGTGGAAATACACCCACAGTAATGAGTTTAAATCACTTCCAGGGTTTAACATGGTCAGTCAATGAAGATGAAGTCACCCTGAAGCTTCCTAAAGCTGCAGGTGATAATTCCCTGTAGGTTCATCATCATGTGTAAAAAAATATACAGCTTCCTGTTTCACACATGATCAAATCTCAGTACGTATTTGTTTTTGCACTTTGCATTTACAAATCTCTTCCAAATCTTTTAGTCATCTTAAATCACATCTGGGACAACATGTGGGGCATTTTTATGTAATCCCAAGCACGCACGTGCAATTACTAATAAAAAGGGTTTTGACCAGCTGCGAGATGAAAAAAAAAGAAAAAGTTTTTAATCTATATGATAATGTTAATATATGTGATAATGTAATAAACAGTAGCTCAACAGTTTTGCGTCCCCTTCAGTCAGCAGAGCTTCCTGAGTGCTTTCAGCTTAAACAACTTCCTGTCTAAAGAGGAAGAGGTCTGCCAGGAAGCCCCACCACCACCACCTCCACCGCGACTGCTGCCACCACTGGCATGTCAAATCATAAATAACCTGTAGAAGGACTGGTGGGAGATGTTATTATGTTTGACAGGAAACGAGACCTAATGGTATCTAACGGTGCTCATAATCTAAAATCAAACCTCCAATACTTTGAGAAAATAAAAGCCATAAATCAGTGCATTGACTGCGATCCAAGTGTAACATGAAAAAAAACAATAAAGACTGAAGTTTACCACCTCGTCAACCTGGTTGATTATTTTCTGATACTGGAGACATTAAATAACAGGTCATGTTCAACAGCGAGGAGTCAGAACATTGATTTCATGACAAGTCTTTGATGAATCCCCCTCGTTATCTGTAGCTTCCTCCAGCTCGTGGTGTTCATAGGCGGCTGTAGCCTGCGGGATTTAATGAGACACTCTGTACGTTAGAATTAAATGAGAAATTAAGGCATTATTTCCACTCTGGTGCCTGCGTTAGAATCACTTTTTAAGATATTTGATTGCAGCTTGCCAGATTAGCCATCCCTCTCTCTCTCTGCCAAACTCTTTTCATCACTCATCAGCCCTCTTCAGACTCTTGATATCCACACTCCTGGACAGTTTGTTTTGTTATCCTTTAAATTCTGAATCCCACTTTTTTGGGGGGGGCTAAAATAGAGCTTTGTACAATCTACTGTATCCTGCAGACATTATTTCGGTCTGGAAATAAATTAAAAGTAAATTGCAGTATGGAAAAGCCGAGGCAGGAAGGGCGACTCTGATTAGCTCCTGAACATTAAGACAGATTAAAATAATGCAATCCACATTTATGCTTCTTTCTAGCTCCACGTAAAGCTGGAGAGAAGCTGAAGAAGGCCACTCTTTGTTAGTTTGAGTCCTCCGCAGTGTTCTAGGTCATCTTCTGTCTCTTCTTTTCCTTTTTATCCTTTTTGTTTCTTCCACCACAGGTTGGTTCTTTCTCTTCACGCTCCCCTCTTTCATTTTCACCATCACTGATTCCAGCAAGGATAAAAACCTGATTAGCAGGATGATGTTGTTTTAGTTTAGCGTGGAGCATCTTACATAAGCTTCACATGATCTACTTTCTAAGCCAACATCTCCGGTTAGATGAAAACATTGCTTTCACAGTGATGCCTCTGTTTTGAATAATGTAGGAGGAATATTCACTCCCTCCCTCTCTGCCATTTAAGTGGTGCTTATTTAAAAAATAATATTCCGAAGGATGTGTGTTTTATAATGTTGCAGAGGGTGGGACAGAGATTACAACCTAGAGTCAAAATAGGCATCATTGGTAGAAGAGAATTATACGGATTCGGTTGCATGAAGCTTTTCGTACATGAAGTAAACTGATATGGATTTTTTGGGGGCTGATGCTGATTACAATATTGGGGAGTAAAAGTTTTCTCACTACAGACTTATTGAAGGTTTACAAATAATTTATCATCCTGGCTCTGATTTTCAGCCTTTGTGTGTTTGTGCTCCTTTTTCCCTTTCTCAACTCTAACATTATTTGCTCTGTCAATGCGAGATAACATTCAACACAGATACTAATTATAATAAGCATAATAATAGCCAGGCAGCATCTATTTAATCCTATTCAAACACATTATCCTAAATGACAGCGGCTGCAGTTAACTTTGTAGGTCTTTGTGTTGGTGTGTGTATATATAATGTGTGTGTAAACGAATGTCGGTAACACATCAGCTTTCCACATGCACCCAAACAGACATCAACACCCACACAATGCCTCACCACAGATACACAAGGCAAATGCACACAGCAGTACGGCACCATTCATGAGCATCACAAAGCGACCAGGTGAGGACAGGCTGCAGCACAAATGAGTGGTCGGGTTACTGTGCAGTGAATGGCCCTGTGTGCAACCTTGAATACACACTGCACCAACACATGATTTCATTTCCCGGACATCAAAAGAGATAATCAGGAATGAATGAATTTCTTTTATGTTCTTTTGACTCTGCTCAAGTCGTCTCGCTCTGTTTGTTTCTCTGTTTCTGCTCTGTCGCATAGTGAGTCATATCGTAGCCATTTAACTGTCTGCGTTTCTTCTCTGTCTCCTGTGGCTCCACACAGCCGGTCTCCTTTGTGTGTCTCTCAGGTGTTTAAGTCATTAATTTGTCGTTCCACTTGTCTCTAATGTGACAAAGGTAATCAATGTAAGTTTACTTGTAATCAATATCTCTCAGAGAATTGGCACAAGGTCCTGCATTCATAGTCCTAACTTCTAACTATGTTTTTAAGATTTAATTTCAATAGTAATCGTGATCCATTAAACAGAGAACACAAACGAACATCAAGTAAGCATGAGTGTACATTGTCAGCAATGATTAATGTGAATGATATATTATGATATATTTGGCCCCTTCAAAGTTTTTTTTTGTAAAATGTAATCCTGTAAACCTGAAATCACATAAATCACAATGCCCTTATTGAACCATTTAACAGTTTTTAACATTAAATTCCTCCTTATATTCTAGGTCTGTCCTTCTACAGTCGCGTGGCAGAGAACTGTGAGGAGGTGGCCCACTTTAATGAGGTTAGTATCTTAATTTCCTGTCCTTCACTAACTCACCTGAATAATGACCAATCAGCAATTATCTATTAACTCAATAGAAACGACAGCCTTCCCTTCTCAGGTGCAATTAACTTGCACTGATTTGACAGGCTGCAGCTGTTGTTCGTGAGCGGGGGTGGAAATTGGGGGTGGAAAGTTCGTAATTACTGGACGTGATTTAATGAAGTCAAGTTTTTACTTTGAATCTACAGTAATAGTTCACTTACATGTGATCACATAATGAAACTTCCAGAAAATGTATGTAATTTTCGAGATTTTGAGGTGAATGATTAAGATTTAAAATATATACATTCACCCACATTGAAATCCTGTGCACGAGCACATTGAGAAATCCCATGAAGACAAAAAACGTTCGTCTTATCTCCACGATTCTCATCCAAATGATGTGCTTCTTGCTTGCAAAGGGCTGATGTCCTGCCAAGTGTCTCCTAATGGTTCTCTGCAGTTCACTGATGTCCTATCAGAGTGTGAGAGGCGAGGCAGAGGTAGTAACCCATGCATGACCCTGAACACTTGCTCTGTTGTAATTAAACGAGACACTCTACTACTGCTGCAGTGAGTACGAGCTGCTGCCTCATTCATAACTGTATCCTACACACAAAACGGGGCCTGAAATAGATGTGAAGAAAAGGATCGATAAATCAAATTTGAGCCCGTACGGAAATCCTGACCTATTTTGTATGAACATTTTCAAGATGGAAATAGGGCGATGCAGGTGAGGTGGTGAATTGTTTTTGAAGCTACATTGAAAATAAACCTCTGCCTTGCCTCTCAGACCCTGATGGGACATGAGTGAACAGCTGTGAACCAATAGTTCTTTTCTAATCTGTGGATTGGATGTCACTTTGTGGAGTTAAAAACTCGTATGCACTTGGAATAAGGACGTTTTAAAAGCCTTTTAATTGTCAGAGGGACTGCAGCGCCCCTCAGAGCTGTGGGAGTTATCTGACACTCGCTTTCTTTTCTTCCTCATTATTTCAGTAAAGTTGGGCTTATCATATATCATCAAGTACAATGATGGCTTTCATGTAGTTTTTGTGTGTAAAACCACCGCAGTGAACACAATTGTGCTGTCAGGTGGAGACACCCCAGTGGCTCACACTCTTGCTGGATGAGGTGAATGGAGAAATATTCAGCACCTGCACATACAGTATGCATCGTGCGACTAAGCAAAGTGCAAAAACCTTGATTTAGCCTTCGAGTCAGTTGTTGCCATGATTAATCCCACTTGGTCTCCAGCCTCATTTCTATGCATCAGCAATCATGAGGATTTTCTTTATTGAGCATTTACATTTGAGTGCGGCCGCTTGTAGAGGGCAGGATAAATGGTGGATTTCAAGGTAAACTGTGATTTATGAAGGGAACATTGTCTGTAGGTCTGTGTGCAAAGGTTTTACAAATCTGATTATTTTTCTGTGCACAACATTTTGTATGTGTGTACAGTTTTCATATTGGTATTATGCATTGTTTAATAATTGAGGCCCCCGGCTCCCCTGTTCTGCACCAGAGCTCATTTTAACTTGAAAAAGAAAGTTTTGTGCATATGAACTCTTTAGCATTTCAATATAAGTCCAGCAAATTGAATATTCTGAGCAACGGCACAGACCTGTATTCGTTTTTCTAAACCTGAAAGGATTGCAGTCAAGACGCTCTGGTGCTGGCTGGTCAGACTCTTTTCACTGTGGCTTGCAGCAAGAGGCTGGGAAATGTTCCCAATGGGATTCCCGCAGTCTCCTGTCACACTGAGAAACCAGCATTATGATGGATTCAAATGCAAAGAGTCGTCTGAGGCAACAGAGAGAGGGGAGAAATAAGAAGAGATGAGGGCTGAGGGATCAAGAGAGAGGTGCCGCAAGAAATCCTCACAGAGCAGAAGCAAAAGAAAGAGAACAGAGGCAGACAAACCAGAGGTAAAAGTGAGGGAATGAAATGGGGGAAAAACAAAAGAGAAAGCGCCTCGAACACGTTACCTTCCTCAGGGAAGTTTTTCTTTGTTCTTTTAGCAGCTTGCTTTTGCCGAGAAAACATTTTTCCTTTGATGGATTCACGAGCAGAGAGCTGCTTCCTTTACTGATAACAAGGGCTTTTGTTTTCAGTTTAATCAGGAAAATGTCTAAATGACTGTACACTTTAGGCTGCTCTTATAGCCCCCCCCCCAACACACACACACACACACACACACACAGAAAAACACACACTTTCTCGCTCACTACAGTTTGGCAGACAATAAGACAGAAAAGTTGACAAAAGGGATAAATTTGTCATAAATATTTATAATGGTGCATCATATTATCCCTGCGGCCTGGCTACAGTAACTGGTATAGAAGTGAGTGGTGGGCACTGATGTGTGATCTCTTGTGACAGCCTCACCCGATGCTCCTGTAGAGCCGGGGAGGTCATTAGCATCACTCAGCATCAATACAATGTCCGGGCATCCCTCGGGACGACTTGTGCTTCCACTAGTCCCGCAGACCGTGTGTGGGTGTGTTGCATTCTGCCGTTGTCAAAGCGTACATGCATGCCCTGTTTTCCTAGCCGCTCCCCACCACCCCAAACACTGGAGCAATTCCTCATCACATCCTCCTCATCTGACAGCTTCATCCTCAGCACTGGAACTTTTGCATGGCTCAGTAAGCTCAGTCTAGCCCCTGGAATTGAGGGCCATTAGCATAGAGTTGTGTGTCTTGTTGCTTTATGCATGGACTAGCGGGACGCCTTTGAACTAGTCTGCAGATAGACTGGATGGAGAATCTGTATTCATTATTCATCCCCTGGTGCGACTTTGCTTTTAGCTGCAGTACACCAGGGCTTCCCCCTCACTAGTTAGACACAACTAGAGCAAAGAACAGGAAGCTCTGTGGCCACAGGGTTCACCGAGTACCGGCCTGTAGATATGGCGATGATACATGTGTGATTAGGAGAGTTAGTTTGTGAATGTGTATTTGCTTGGTTTACAAAACAAGATATCAAGAGATTTGAACTATGCAGAATGAGGCAAAGGGAATTATTATTCAAACGTAATGAGCACAGGAATATTCCTTCTCCAGCTGCTACACTGGGAGACATGAGATTATGCAACAGAATCCTGAATCCCATGACTTTTTCATGGTGCTGTGTACACACTGATGGTGCCACAAATGGTGGCAGTGTTATGTTTCATGCATGAATGGTGCCCCCATAAACTGCAGCCACTACATCGCACTGTGATCGCTTCAAGCTTTTCTTTCTACTATGCCGAAAACAAACAACTTGATTCCTGATATCTCTTTATGTTATTATAGTTTTATCATGTCTTGAAAAAAGTAATTTTAAGTGTTGTTATTCTCTATCGCTTCATGCATTATTTTTTCTTTATTTCTTTATTATTTTCTCATTATTCTTCATCCCCTCAGTATTATATTTAACAGACTCTGCAGATTTATACTCAGTTGATCTTTCTTTGTGCACTAGGTGTGAAATATGGTGACTGACACTTGAGACCCCCCTTGAACGTCAACATTTTCAAAAAACTAAATTTTGGGGGTCTCTGGAAAAAAAAAAAATTGTCACTTATAAATGTCTTTTTAAAGCTTATATGTCCACTTTGTTGTGAAACACGTATTTAAACAAATTGAAATTTTGTTTTGCATGCACCCGGTTCAACTGCTACACATATCACAAGATGTAACGTGTTGTGCACAGCCAGGACATCAGGATCAAAGTGACTTGAACCATCTGAATTCTTGATCCAACACCATCGATTAATACCGAAATAAATGTGATGGTCAGTTTGTGTCAATAGCTACAGAAACAGAAACACAAACACACAAACACATTCCTGCAGAAAGGAGAGAAGTTCTTTCCGCAGATTATGATTCAATGCTGTGTTTTAACTTTACTTATTAATGTGAATTCAGCAGGTTTTTACAAAGATTGGCTCTCAAGTGTGAGTGATTACAAATGAGTAGAAAGTGTAAAAACTGTAACAATTGATTTTCACCACACAAGCCTTAGTGCATTTATNTTAATAGTATAATTTCCCTGGTTATTCTTTTATTGTATATGATTTTACACTGTATGATTTTATGTCTTCCCAGTGGGAAATGGCTTCTCTGAGTTATGTTTTGCATAGTGTGCAATTCCATCATGTGCAATCATGCTTAAAATATGCAATAATGCTGTTTGTGTATATCTAGATTTCCCATGTATATGACTCGATTACATGAATATAATCTAGAGCATACTGGCATACATGTTGTAGTACATATTATATCATTTAGTAAAGATGTTTGTAGCTGTGTGCAGAGCCATGAAGTATATCTCGGCCCACAACTTTTCTATCATTAACCTTATCTAAGTGCTGTTGGTGCGTAAACAAGCAGTTGTTATCCTACAAGACTGAAAACAAATTAAATACATCACCAGTGGACATTGTAATGGAAACCTTACCAGCCTCATCAGGCCTTTGAACTGGGCGTGTTGTGGCTAACCAAAGAGAGTAGGAAAAGACCAGAGTGAGCTCACTTCCACAGAACTTCCCAGAATTCCTTGGTAATCAGATTTGGGAAGTTAAGTGTTCTAGAGAAACGCGTATCCGTTTAAATGTACGTCGCACTCAGTAGCAGGATTCATATCGTGTAATCCACCTGAGCATAAAAGACTTGTAATGCATCACAGGCTGATCATCGTCTGGAGGTCACATTTCAGCCACAACTTTACTGATCACTTGACAAGCAGTAAGTAGAAGAGGACCAGCAGGCCTCTCTGGACTAGAATATGTTTCTGTTGCTCAAAACTTTATGAACTTCACCAGTTGTTCAGAGTCAGTGCTGCTGCAGGGAGGTGTTTTACCCTTTCTGAGAACACTGAATAAAAGATGATCTGAGCTGAATTTTTTTCTTCCCTTAGAGTCTGAAGGACACAGAGAGCGAAAACCTGGGCAACCAGGAATTACAGTAACCAAACTTACTTGATAGAATCTA